CTTCCCTTACCACTATGTCCTAATCCAGGGCTGTCGTGGTCTTCTTGAAGCTGTGTGATGGGGCAGTCCTGCTCCGAACAGGGGGATTCATAGCAGGGACTTGGTGTTTTCATTCATTCTTTTCTGTTACTTCATATCTGGCCCATTCTATTTAACTATTTCGGGTCGTCCCCTCTTGATGAAGATGAAGTTGAGATTTGCTGCCCTTCTTCAGAAGTAAAAGTGGATGCGGGCAGGTGGGTAGGAACTTGAAGTGAGACCAGACATTGCTGAAGGAGTCGGACCCTCCCTTTCTACAGCCCCAAAGCATCCACGTGTGTTCTGATGCCCGCAGGACACATTGTTCTGAGATCGAATGTGGGCTGTACATTTTCCTGCCAGTGTGAGAGGACTACGTTCTCAGAGAACAGTCCTAAAGCCATCAGGGTGGGAAGCAGAGAAGGGACTTGATGCTTCTCCTCTCACATGTGTGGTCACTCTGCTGGGCACTTTGCTTTCATTGTCTCTTTCTACCCTCATAACAGCTTTGTGAAGTAGATATTATTGTCCCCATGTTAGATGACACCCAGGATTTAAGTGAAGTGCCAAACACATAGAGTAGTTATGTCCTCCATAAAATGGAGCCTCTATTATTATTTGTCCCCAAATAGGAAGAAACAGGCCTGAGATCTATTTAAGAACTTTTCCAAGACCACAGAGTAAAAAAATGGCAAAAACAGAGTTTGAACCAGGTATTCTGACTCATAAATCTCTGCAGTTTCTGCTCCAATCCTTGCTTTGTAGAATAAATAAGGAAAAGAGCTTTGTTGCTGAGATGTGATGCTACTTTCTTCCTCCTACTCCTTTGTTTTGACCTTTTAAAAGTGGGAAATACAGTTGACTCTTGAACAACATGAGTTCGAACTGAGCACATCCATTTATGCATGGATTTTTTTTTTAATAGTAAATACTACACAATCCTCAATTTGTTGAATCCATGAGTGTGGAACCATGGATGTGGAGGGTCAACTATAAATTATAGTTGGATTTTAGACTAAAGGGAGGGTCAGCACTCCTAACCCCCATGTTGTTCAGGGTCAACTGTATAACACAAAAACAGAATAGTGAAATAATCACTAATACATCTTAATGCATTATTATATAGCTAAGACTGTGAAACAACCATCTCAGTTCCAAACTTCAGAAACCCCAGGGCCACCCAAGGAAAGGGTGACCACTCTCTTCTAGATAATCTTCCCTGCTCTTCTTTGTAGTTTGTGTGTATCTCAAACCACATTATCATTATTATTTTTTGGCTGCATCACGCGGCTTGCGGATCTTAGTTCCCTGATGGGGATTGAACCCAGGGCCACAGCAGTGAAAGCACTGAGTTCTAACCACTGGACCAGCAGGGAAGTTCCTCAAATCACAGTAATTTAATTCTCCCTGCTTTAAAAAGATTATATTAATGGATCATACAGAGTGTACTGTTCTGTGTCTCACTTCTTTCAGTCAACAATATGGTTATGAGATTCACCCATGAGCGTTCCTGTTGCTCCAGATCCTCATCAACATTTAGTATTGTCAGAGTTTTGGATTTTGGCCATCCTAATAGGTGTGTAGCAGTATCTCGTCGTCTTAAGTTGCAATTTGGTAGTGGCATAAGATGTTGAATGTCTTCTCATTTGCTTACTTGCTGTCTGTAAGTTTTCTGTGATGAAGTGTCCATTCGGGTATTTTGCCCATTTTAAATTGAGTTGTTCATTTTCTTATTGTTGAGTTTTAAGAGTTCTAAGAATATTTTGGATGAGTCCTTTATCCAATGTGTCCTTTGCAAATATTTTCTCCCAGTCTGTGGTTTGTCTTCATATTCTTTTGACATTGACATTTGCAGAAGCTTTTAATTTTAATGAAGTCCAGTTTATTTTTTTCTTTCATGGATTGTACTTTGATGTTGTATTTAAAATCATCATCATATCCAAGATTTCTCCTATGTTATCTTCTAGGAATTTTATAGTTTCTCATTTTACACGAAGGCTTATGATCCATTTTTAGTTAGTTTTTGTGAAAGATACAAAGTCAGTGTCTAGATTCATTTTTTACATGTGGATTTCCAGTGGTTCCAGTATTTTTTTTTGAAAATGCCATGTTTGTGCCATTGTATTGCCTTTGCTACTTTGTGTAAGATTAATTCATTGTGTTTATATGGGTCAGTTTCGGCACTCTACGTTCTGTTCTATTTATCTACTGTCCGTTATTTCTCTAATACTACACTCTTGATTACTGTAGCTTTATAGTAAGTCTTGATGTCAGTTAGCCTTAGTCCTCCAACTTTGTTCTTCAGTATCATTTTGGCTATTCTGGGTCTTCTGCCTTTCCATATAAACTTTTGAATCAGTTTGACAAGATCCACAATATAAACTGCTGGGATTTTGATTGGGTTTGCATTGAATCTATAGGTCAAGTTAGGAAGAACCAAGATCTTGACAATAAATATTGAGTCTTCCTATCTGGGAACGTGGAATATCATTCCACTTTAGTTTTTCTTTGATGTCTTTCATCAGTTTTGTAGTTTCCTTCATGTGGATCTTACACATATTTTGTTAGATTTATACCTAAATGTTTCATTTTCAGGGTGCTAATGTAATGAGGCATACCTCATTTTATTGCACTTTGCTTTATTGTGCTTCATAGATACTACATTTTTTACAAATTGAAGGTTTGTGGCAACCCTCCATCAAGCAAGTCTATAGGCACCATTTTTCCAACAGCATTTTCTCACTTCATGTCTCTGTGTCACATTTTGGTAATTCTCACAGTATTTTAATTTTTTTATTATTATTATATTTGTTATGGTGACCTATGATCAGTGATCTTTGATGTTGCTGCTGTGACTTGGTGAAGGTTCAGATGATGGTTAGCATTTTTTAGCAATAAAATATTTTTTTAATTAAGGTATGTTTTGTACTGAATACATTGTCTTTTTAGACATAATGCTCTTGCACACTTAGTAGACTACAGTATAGTGTAAACATAACTTTTATATGCACTGGGAAGCCAACAAATTTTGTGACTTGCTTTACTGCAGTATTTGCTTTATTGTGGTAGTCTGGAACTGACCCCTCAATATCCCCAGTGTATGCCTTATGTGTATTTGCATTTGCATTTGTTCATTGCTAGTATATAGGAAAGCAGTTGGATTTTTACATTAACCTTGTACCCTACAACATTGCTATAATTACTTATTATTTCCAGAATTTTTTCTTGATTCCTTCAGATTTTCTACATAGATGATCATGTTGTCTCTGATCAAAGACAGTTCTATTTCTTCCTCCCCAATATATAGACCTTATATTTCATTTTCATGTTTTATTGTATTAGCTAGGTCTTCAAGTACAATGTTGAAAATCAGTGGTAAGAAAGGACATCTTTCAGTTGTTCCTGATCTTAGCAGAAAAACTTCTAGTTTCCTGCTGACAGTTTTTATCATGAATGGGTGTTGAATTTTGTCAAATGCTTTTTCTGCATCTTTGGATATGATCATGTGATTTTTCTTCTTTAGCATATTGATGTGTTGGACTACATGAATTGATTTTTGGATGTTGAAGCAGCATAACAGGGAAAAATCCCATTTGGTCATGCTGTATAATTCTTTTTATTCATTGTTGAATTTGATTTGAGAACTTTTTATATCTATGCTCATGAGAGAAATTGAGCTTTAGTTTTCTTGTATTATTTTTCTATTTTGATATTAGGTTTTGATATTAGGGCAATGCTGGTCTCATAGAGTGTGTTAGGAAGTATTCTCTCTGCTTCTATCTTCTGCAAGAGATTGTAGAGAATTGGTATAATTTCTTTGTTAATGTTTGATAGAATTCACCAGTGAACATGTCTGGGCCTGGTGCTTTCTCTTTTGGAAAGTTATTGTTGATTCAATTTATTTAATAGATATAGGCCTATTCAGTTTGTCAATTTCTTCTTGTGTGAGTTCTGACATATTGTGCCTTTCAAGAAATTGATCCATTCATTAGATTATCCATTTGTGGGCATAGAGTTGTTCATAATATTTCTTGATTATCTTCTCTAAGTCCATAGGAAATGTAGTCCGCTCTTTCATTTCTAGTATTAGTAACTTGTCTTCTTTCTTTTTTCCTAATTAACTTGGCTAGAGATGTTGATTTTATTGATCTTTTTGAAAAACCAGCTTTTGGTTTTGTTGACTTTCTCTATTGATTTCCTGTTTTTAATTTCATTGATTTCTGCCCTAATTTTTATTATTTCTTTTCTTCTGCTAATTTGAATTTAATTTGTATTTTTTTCTAGTTTTCTAAGGTGGAAATTTCAATTATTGATTTTAGATCTTTCTTCTTTTCTAATATATGCATTCAATGCTATAAATTTTCCTCAAAACACTGCATTTGTTGCATCCCACACATTTTGGTAAGTTGTATTTTTGTTTTCATCTAGTCCAAATTAATTTTAAATTTCTCTGGAGATTTCTTCTTTGACTCATGTGTTATTTAGAAGTGTATTATTTAATCTCCAAGTATTCAGGAATTTTCTAGGCATCTTTCTGCTATTGATGTCTAGTTTAATTCCACTGTGGTGTGAAATTTGACATTGTATGATTTCTAATCTTTTAAGATGTGTTTTATGACCCAGAATGTGGTTTATCTTGGTGAGTGTTCCATGTAAACTTAGGAAGAATGTATATTCTCCTGTTGTTGGATGACATATGATGTATCTAGGTGTCAATTATATCCAGTTGTTTGATGGTGCTGTTGAGTTCAGTACATCCGTACTGATTTTTCTGCCTGCTGGGTCTGTCAATTTCTGATAGGGGATGTTAAAGTCTCCACATATACTATATGATTTACCTATTTCTCTTTGAAGTTCTCTCAACTTTTCAGTTTTTGCCTCATGCATTTCAATGTTCTGTTGTTAGTTGAATACACATTAAGGATTGTTATATCTTCTTGGAATATTGACCATTTATCGTTATGATACGGTCCTATTTATCCCTGATAACTTTCCTTGCTCTGAAATCTGCTATGTCTGAAATTAATATAGCTACTCCTGCTTTCTGTTGATTAGTGTTAACATGTTATATCTTTCTTTTTTCTTTACTTTTAATCTACATGCTTCTTTATATTTAAAGTAGGTTTCTTGAAGACATATAGTTGGATCTTATTTTTTGATACACTTAGACAATCTCTGTCTTTCAGTTGGTACATTTTCTTAAAGTGATTACTGATAAAATTGGATTAATATCTACTGTATTTGTTACTGTTTTCTCTTTGTTGCCCTCATTCATCATTTCTATTTTTCTCTTCCACACTTTTCTTGCCCTTGGTAGTTTTAATTGAGCATGGTATATGATTCCATATTCTCTTCTTTCTTATCATATCAATTATACTTTTTAAAAACTTTTTTAAATGCCCTAGAGTTTGCAATATACATTTATGACTAATCCAAGTTCATTTTCAAAAAAAATAGTATACTGCCTCATGATAGTGCAAGTACCTTAAAGAAACAATACTCCTACTTCTTTTATCCTTTCCCTTGTATCATTGTTGTCATTTATTTCACTTATATATAATCATAGATAATCATATATGTATACTTTTATATAAGTACATATATATGTACGTGTATATATGTACATATATATTCATATATGTAAAGATAATTGACAACATTATTGCTATTTTTATTTGGAATAAACTGTTATCTTCATGTCAATTAAGAATAAGAAAAATAAAAGTTTATACTTTATCTTCATTTATTCATTATCTGATGCTCTTTCTTTCTTCATGTAAATACAAGTTCCTTTTCTTAATCATTTAATTTTTTTGCAAGACAGGTCTACTGGCAACAAATTCCCTCAATTTTTGTCTGTGAAAGTCTTTATTTCTCATTCCCTTCGAAGAATAATTTCTCAGGGTATAGAATTCTAGGTTGGTGGTTTTCTTCCCACAACATTTTAAATATTTCACTCCACTCTCCTTTAATTTGAATGGTTTCTGAGGAGAAATTAGGTGTAATTCTTATCTTTGCTCCTATATAGGTAAAGTTGATTTTTGTTTGTTTGTTTTTACCTTCTGGTCTCTGCCCAAATTTTTCTTTATTTTTAATTCTCTGAAATGTGAATTGATATGCCTAGATGTGATTTTTTGGCATATACCCTGCTTGGTGTTCTCAGAGCTTCCTGCATCTGTGGTTTGGTGTCTGACATTAATTTGGGGAAAATTCTCAGTCATTATTTCTTCAAATATTGCTTCTATTCCTCTCTCTCTTTCTTTTTTTTTTTTTTGGTGTCCCCATGATGCCCCTGTTATTTCTTTGTAGTTGTCCCAGAATTCCTTGATAGTCTGTTTTTTTCTTAATTTCAGTCATTTTTTCTGTTTCTCTTGAGCTTTGGAATCATCTATTGTCATATTCTCAAGCCCAGAGATTCTTTTCTCAGCTGTGTCCAATCTACTTATGAGCCTGTCAAAGATGGTCTTTATTACAGTGTTTTTTTATCGCTACCATTTCTTTTTGACTCTTTCTTAGAATTTCCATCTCTCTGCTTACATTATCCATCTGTTCTTGCATGTTTTCTGCCCTTAGCATATTAATCATAGTTTTTAAAAATCCCCCATCTGATAGTTCCAACATTCCTGCCATATCTGACTTTAGTTTTGATACATATTCAGTCTCTTCAAACTGTATTTTTTGCCTTTTGATATGCCTTATGATTTTTTATTGCAAGGTGGTTATGATCTACTGCATAAAGGGAAATGTAATAAATAGACCTTATTAATGTAGTGGTAAGGTTTGGGGTGTGGGGAAGTGTTTTACAGTCCTGTGGTTAGGTCGCAGTCTTTTAATGAGTCTGTACCACTGGACCCTAATCTTCACAAGAGTTTTTCATCCCCCCCAAGCCCCCACCTCTGTTAAGTGTAACACGATGGCTTAAGAAGGCTGGAGTTGGGTATTTCCCTTCCCCCACGTCATTTAGGCTCTGAGAAAACCCCATCAGGTAAAGTTTCTGCTGAGGGCAGACCTTGCTAGGAAGAAGAGATACTCTGTTTTATTTCAGAATGGTTCCTTTTCCCCTCCCCCTGTAGGAAGCATAAGGGGATTTTTTTCTCCAGTATTCACTTTGAGGATCTTATAGAGTTCCTAGAGATAAAACTCACAAAAAACATGGGGCCCTGGTATGACTGGGTCCCCCTAGAGTTTTTAACTCTCAGATCTGTCCACACTGGGCCTCCAGCAGTTTGTCAAGTACAGTTCTCTGGTTCCTGTGAAGGTTTCAACTCATTGGTTCCTGCTCTAGTAAGTTATAATTCTTTGTATTTGCCTGTATGTCTTTCCAATTTTAGGACAGTGGTGTGCCCTGTAACCTCACTTATATGACTGTTCTTAAAAGAGTTGTTGATTTTTCAGTTTGTTCTGCTTTTTACTTGTTAGGATGGAGTGGCAACTTCTAAGCTTCTTACGTGCTGTACCCCAAAACCTGAACCATCCTGTTTTAGTACTGAAAGTGCTATGTTCCTAGACAGTCTTCAGTCTTGGGCAAACTGGGATAGTTGGTCGCTCTTTGAATATTTTATAATTTAGTTATCCATTTTGGTAATCATGGCGATCATTTGTTTTTCCATATTTTGGGCTATTGTGAATAACACAGCTGTGGGTATTTGTGTACCTCTCTCTTAATGGGGTGGTTCAGGCATTTCTATGGGTTATGTACACAAGAGTGGAGTTGCTGGGTCTCAGGATATGGGTACCTTCAACCTCAGTAGATTAACACCGAACAGCTTTCGAAAGTCTTCATACCACCACTCCCATGTGGGTGTATGAGGATTTCATTTGCTCATCATTCTCACTAGCACTTGGTATTGTCATCCTTTAGTTTTAGCAGTGCTGGTTGGTATGTAGTGACATCTCATTGTTTCAATTTATCCTGGCACCATTTTAACCGTGTGTCCCAGGATTCTATGAGAATCCATGCAGACCTGGGGTGTGGTTACCTGGCCAGTCTTTTATTAGGCAGCCGGATCTCCAATATACATTGCTTTGGGGATGTCAGGGCTGTTACTGTGCACGATGGAACATACTTCCCTTAAACTCACTTTTAGAAGCAAGGATGACTCTTGACTGTATATGAACAAGCAGGTGGGCTCTCAGCAACAGGTGATGTCTCCATGTCCAGAAGCATCACTAACTTGAGCTGCCCAATCCCTGTCCTCCATCCTGGTCTCACCACCACGATCATCAGGGACTTTGTAACGTTTTGGACATTGTCAATCTCTCCTGTGTCTCTCTATAATCTTGGCAAGAGCACGGAAGCAAATCCAGCCAAGGTACTCTTCCCCTGTGGCATCCCAACAGCAAGGTTCTCATGTGCACATGCTGGACCCTGTTCTACCTCCCCAAGAGTGGTAAGAAAGTCACTGGCCACACTGGGAGAGATCAAAGTGCTATCCAAACTGGCCAAGCACATGATTAAACCAGGATATATTGTTTGGATACTCTTCTCCCGACTAGTGACATCCTGATGGGGCTGCCTAACCAGAAGCCATGGAGGTTGGAGTGCTGCTGTCTCTAAAGGCCGCTCCTCCCTGGAACACCACCCAGAGGTACCCAGACATCAAGAATTGTGGAGACAGGGCCCAGCCAGGCATTCATCAGCTCATTTCCTGCAGCATGCCATCTCCTGCACTAGCCCTGATCAAAATAGAGACTTTAAGTTTAGAGAGAAGTTGTGCCGACCGTGGACTTCAGAGCTGCCCCTTCAAGGTCTCTGAGAATTCTTTGCCCCTGGGATGCTGTGATGACTTTCCCTTGGACTGTGGCATGGAAGATTTCCCTCCTGTTTGAATCTTACTTGCATCACCTAAGCGGACTGACTTATTTTTCTGTCAGTTTTTGCCCTTTCTGACTGACTTGACCGACTGACAACGTCCCCAGTTTCCACATGGCCACACCTGCTTTCCCCGCCCCTCACCTCTGATTCCAGGTGGGAGCTGAGGGGTGTTGAGCCTCAGTGACTCCCACTGCTGGGTAATTTGGTTTGTTCTTTGTGACAATGTACCAAATATTGAGCCCTGCCCTGGTGGTTCAGGAAAGGATCACACCTCTCACCGTCCCCAGAAGGTAAAATGTTGACAAAGGCAGAGATCCTTACTGAGGAGCTGTCACTGTCAGGTCCTCAAGGTTTTTTAATACTCTGTATAGATCCAGATTGGCACTGAAACACACTCACAAACTATGTTTTTGGAAGAACTGGAGGGTAAGCAGAATCTCAGGACTTCCGGGGAAAGAACCAACTTCCTCCACTCTTCCCACATATCCAAATTCAAATGCTGTTTATGATTTTAAAATGGTATATACAATCACACAACACGAAAGTGCCAGAAAGGGCTTCTGGCTAAGATAGACACTCAAAAAGTGAGGCATTTGTTCGAAAAACTTCAGGCTCTTCTCCCCCAAATCCCTTCCTATGCTTAATATCCAGAAAGTTGAAAGAAAAACACATTTTTATCAATTGCTCAAGAGCTTTGGCTATCCTGCTGGAGTCGCCTTCCGCGGCCTCAGCCCGAGATGGTGACACCAACCCAGGAACTGCTTTCTCCCCTTGCGATGGCTTTTGCTCACTGCTCCAAAGATGCAACTTCAGGGTCATCCCAGGCCACTCTTTAGCTTGGAGCGGAGGTCTACACACAGTGGATTTGGCTGTCTCATTGCAGCACCAGCTGGTCGTCTCTGGTAGGAAAGAATTGAAAGAGTATTTTACACCATGGAAATTGTCTTCCAGGCCCAGATGGACCGTCGCTGTTCTAGCTTTGACAGGCCGGGATAGATATATTCAGAAAGCCTTCCAGCTATTTAGTAACTCTTCCAAAACACTGTCAGCACCCATGCTAGGGAGCTAGGAGTGGGAAGGAAGTCTAAGTAGGGAACTAAACCTAGTTAGTATATATTTGCATAATTATCTTGCAGTGAATGGATGTGTGGTTGGTGGCAGGTTGGAGGTCGCCATGGACACTGAAAGCCAGGAAGGACTTGAACTGCCCTGGGTCAACACCTCGCACCCCTTCCTGAAAACTCCTGTGCATTTTAAGTGTTGGGTTAAAAAAAAAGCAGAACTCCTCCAAAGCAGGTCACCTGGGAGCAAAACAGATAAGTTTGGGCCCCAGACCCTTGGGTATGCTTCCTGTACGCTCAGGGGCAGGGGTCAGCTCTGGCCACGTCCACCTGCAGCCGCTCCAGCAGGGTGGGGAAAGGAGGAGGCGATGGCAGCAAGATCTCTGCGGTCACTAAGGGATCAAAGATGCTGGGCAAAAGCAAGTATTTTAAAAACAAGATTATAAAGATACTGTCGAATTCATGGCAGCAGTGCCCTGAATTTAAATATAGCTCTGTGACTGTTAGCAAAATGCTGTGGTTATGAGATGACTATTAATATAGCTGTTTGCCTGAGACAGACAGAAGGGGGGTGGGGGGAGAGTGAGAGAGAGAGAAACTTCACCTGAGTTATGAAAGCTCATTTATTTTTAGGCTAAATACGTCCCCTTTAGGACCAACCTTTACTTCGTTTGCTTTGAAAGTTCTCAAATTACAGCTTCCAAAAATTAAAAAAATATACCAGCCCGGCAAGCAGAAGAAGTAGTCAAGGTAGGAAACGGTGGCCCCGGGCTGCCTTGTTTACTGACAACACTTGTTCCTCACAAAAGAGCTTCCGAGGCTGCAGAAATTCCTAAAATGTCAACTATTTCCCTCATTCATGGCGTCATCCTTTTTAAATAAAATTTCTTGGAGCTCCCTAGACCCATACATTTGAAAAGAAGAGAGTGCAGTTCTTGATGTGATACTTAGTCTTCTCGTTTTTCATAAGAAAACCTCGAGTGTTTCTTTTTTAATCCTTTTATTTTTTGGTTTTGTTTTGCATCAGTATCTGAACTGTAGAATTAAACTCTGGTTACGTGATAATCTATGCTTTAAAACTCGCCTGTAAACTATTTTTTACTGCTTTAACGTTTTTCATTCAGCACATTAAACAAGCCATTGCTCTTTTTAGGTGGGGATTACTAATAGTGTTTTGACGGATTGATAATTAAACACTGGGCTGCTCCTTGCCTTACATAACTCTCCTAATGACCCTGCCAGGGTGGTTATGAATAAGCTTGAAATAAACTTCCTTCAAAGCGCAGCTCTGGAAGGGGACGGGTTCTCTCAGGTAAGGCAACTGGCTTATGCTCTGTGCAGTAAATGACTGTGTTTTAAGTGAAACACCAGACTGTCTGGCTATTAGCCAGTTTCATGTAAATAGAAAAAGAAAATGCTCTTCTATGGCAGTATTTCCATCACTTCCCTCATTTAACGGTCTAGACTTTGCCCAAGATATTCATTCGAGGGATAAGGAAAATATGAATATTACATTTTCCATTGGAACCAAAATAGGCAACCGAATTGGGCTGGCTTTGAAGAACCAAACTGTCTAAAATGTTCCGTTCTAAGTCAACATTGCTAACACAGATGAAGTCAGAGAGCTTGTAGAGAAAGGTGGACGTTTTCCCTAAAGAATCAATCCAAGATGAAGTCTACTGTCATCAATACCCTTTATGAATCACAGGGGTTAGCTTTCGACTAGCTGTTTGAGTCCATTGAAATCATTCCCTCTCATCCGAGCCAGCGTGCACACATTGAGTGTTCACTGTATGCAGCGGGGCGGTAGGGAGGGGGTGGGCGGAGGCAGAGGCAGAGGCAGACAGAAAATGGAAGGGTCCGAGCATTGCCCCAAGGAGTGTGTCAATGAGAGTTTAGGTATTCAAGGCGCCCTGACACTGAGCCACTCCTTGCTGGATTTTCTATTTTTTAAGACTTTTCCATGGTTAAAGTTGTTTCCTCTTAAATCACTCCCTTGAAATTAAATGTATGACCTGGAATGACATTCTAGAATGTATGAATTTCCAAAAGAGCTCAGTTCCCTGAAATTCCTAAAGGTATAAATGTCCAGTGGACTATTTGACTCTTCCAGTCCAGAAACTCCTTGAGCTAAATGTCTCATTGATTTTCACTATCCGTGTGAAATTGAATAGGAATTACATTACATGCCATAGTGAGAAAAGGCCGAGACTCTGATCAGTCCTATAAAACATGCATGAAACATGTATATATTTGTGTGTGAGATAATATAGATTTATGTTTCTGTTGCATCCCGTTGGTCATTTGTTGGAATTCTCTATGGAACATACCATAATTTATGTTTAAAAACATACTACCCTTTGAGAAAGAAACTCCATATTTGAAGATGCCTCTCTCTACTCCCACACATCATGAATGTTTTGACTTTAGGTTCATCAAAATTCTTGAACATGTACTTCATTATGGCCATGTTTCCTACAAAGCATTTTGCAGATAAAAATGTCAAAAATATATGGTTGAGCAGAGACCTCCCCGTATTTGGTTTTGACTTAAGTTCCAGTTACACTAATTACCGGAGCAGAATTGGGATTTCCTTTTCTCATTATTAAAGCATACAACTCCAATCATAATGGGCTACATTATCCCGCTACAAAGGCCCCGATTCACAATGGCTTCAAGCCTCTGCACGTAGCTCCTGGAAAAAGGCTGCAGAGAGGGAGATGCTGTGAAAATGCCTGCCAGGGGCTTGACCTGCATCCCCAAAGGAGGGAATGAATGAAGTCATTCCAAGCGTTTAAAAAAAAAACAAAAAACAGCCGAAGAATCATATTATTATTGCAATGTTCCCAAACACCAGAGTCTCATTATGATAATGCAGCTTTTCCCCATCTGCATTTACAATTTCACCTGAAACAACCGTTTATGCTTCCATCCATTTAAAGGTTAAGTTAAAACAGAATGTGGCCAATGTCCATCAACCAGAAACAGAGAAGCTGGGAAAGTGAACATTCTCCCCAGAAAAGAGGTGCAGCTGCCTTGCATGGTATAGGAGGAGCAGAGAGGCAGCAGAATTCCAACAATTTCCAGAAAACTAGTCTCTGTGACCCCTGTAAGGCAGTCCCATGGGTACAGACTGAGCTGCCAATACGTGTCAGTCTCTGTTGCAGACACGGGGGAGAAGCCAGAGGGTTTGTAACTCCTGGTCTCAGGAGCGCTCTGGGTCACCTGGACCAGCTGCACGCATCTCTTTCCAAGTCTGTGTCCATTCTGCCGGGAGCCTGGAATCAGCCACGGTGGGCGGGTTTACACCTCAGAGATCAGCGAATGCTATGAGTCACATTGGTTTCCTTCTGTTCAGAGAGCTGCTTGTTAATCATCTACACAGCACACCACTGATTATATTCTCCTGGAGGAGAGACAAATAATGGACAATTAATGTGTGCTAGGTCAGGGAGTGGTTAGGCTAAGAAGAATAAATACAACATGGCAGGCGAGCGATGGATTGAAAGGCCTGAAATCTTGTACTTTCTGTCTGTTTTTTGTTTTAGTAGAGAACACTCAGGCAGTATCATTTGACTAAGAAGGTCCTGGAATCAGGGAGTCGGGGCCTGGGTGCTCGCCCCTGCAGTTCTGTGATTGTTTTTTGTTTTTCTTTTTTGCAAGTCACTTAGCCTTTCTGAGCCTCAGTTTTCTCATTTATGACATAACTGGGTTGGACCAGATGGTCCCTAGATGGCTCTCTGCTCTCTGATTCTCTCCTGATTTTTGTAAGCTAAAGGATTAAGTGGAATTTCTCTAGCTAGGCCAAAAATTTGTATAAGGGCAGAAACAAATGTTTGGAAAAATATAATAATCATTACCAGATTCACTATAGGCCTCCATACATTTAAAGGTATTTATGAAAGATCTTGGGATCAAGAGGAATCATGTGCAGTTGCGATCTGACCCAGAAGATTGTAGGGAAAAAAGGGGCACAGACCTTGTGGAAGTATGACTTAGAAGGCTTTTACGGAGGAGAGGCCTCTATGTGTGTTTATAGCCAGAAAAGAATCCACTTGAAAACATTTTTTGAACGTGATTAGTGCCCTGCTGCTGAATAAGGTGACACCCCGGGACGCTCCAAAGTTTCCACGTGGCTGAACTGCCCCACTGCCCCTGCTGCCCTACCTGCCTTCCCACGGCAGCCAGGCAGCCAGAGGAGGGGACAACTGAGACGATGAAACGTGTCCTCCATCCCCAGGACCAGCTTGCACGGGACCTGAAATGCATCTCCCTCCTGTTCCAGGTGAGAGCTCCACAGCAAGGGCAGGCAGTTGCTCCCACCCTGGAGAGACCAGCCTGTGCATGGGATACGATGGAGAGAGCTCAGAGCCTGAACTTTAAGTGCCAAGTTCAAGTCCACCTTCTGGTGCGGACTAGCTGTGATCTACTAGGCAAATCACTTAAGTTTTTGGAGTCTTGAACTTTTTTTTGGTCTATAAAACGGCAAGAAGGCCCACTGTCTCCTAGACTGCTCTATGGATTCAGTGGTGGTAGTGTACATACTAGTGCTTTGCAAACTGTGTTATTGTTATTAAGTATCATTACAATGGCATTTCCCCCAACGAGGAGAACATTCTTTCTTTGTAGGGGTTTTCCATTCTGGCTACAAATAAATATATTTGATGCCACTCCAATCAAGTTCTAAAAGGAAACCTTACTCTCTCTACAAAGTAAGAGAGACAATCTGTAATGTTCTTCCTACAGGGAGTTGCAGACGGAGGGAGTGAACTCAGATGAGCTGGGCTCAACTTAACACTGAACAGATATTTCAAAGCTTGGAATAATTATGGTTTAGATGCTGCACTGCAAACAAACACATTTCCAATGATGACAATGAGCCCTGTGGATGTTTGAACGTAGTAATGCTTTTCCTCACAAATTTGGAGAGCTCTGCTCCCTGAAAAAAATAAAAGGGCAATAAAAGGAAACATGAATATGAAAACCACCTTCATTCCCATCTTGATCTTTTTTTTTTTTTTTTTGTCCAGCCGCTTATTGTAGCTGTGTACTGTCCTCTCCAGCATTACTAAAGCTTTTATATGACCTTAAATTTCAAAGCTACAGGTGACCTACAAGGGCCATATACTTCAAAGACAGTTTTGATTAAATGAAACAATATTTGTGTAATACGGACCCCGGATCTTTGAACTGTTCCTGTTCAATTCATCCTACAAAGGTTCAATTAGGAGAGATCAGAAGACACGGCACCCTGGGCCGTTTCCATCTGTCACTCAAGTTTGTCTTTTCAAATATCTTTTATATCAACCCAGGAAAACAATTTATTTTGAGGATGTAATAATCATAATTCAAAAGCCACTTTCAAAGAGGCAATGTCCTTTGCTAGCGAGCGTGGTGTCGGCCCACGCAAGCACCATTTGAAGTGAAATTCTAAGCCTCGGCAGCCTTGTGATTCCTCGTCATGTTACAACTTGTCTTACTATTGATAATTTGTACTTGCTGCCAACAAAAAATTCTAGCCCAAGAGGCCCAGCGTTTGGTGAGCCTTTGTATCAGTGACTGGAGCACATTTCACTTCTGAATCTTGTGGTTTTGCCTTCAGTGAAAGAAAAACTGATCCTAACAGTTTTAAACTTGTTAATTCAAGCCATATGTCAGAAACCCAGTCTCCATATGGTGCCGTACCACCTTATATTTACAGGGGGCTGCTTTCAAAACATTATTCTAAAAGCTATATTTGCCCCAAAGTTAATATGTGGCATCCTGTGCCATGAGTACTGTTTTTAAATATTGCAGGCTTGGAGATTGCATGCTGATAGAGCAAAAATATACTGATTATTAAAAACTAATTACGGCGTGTTTTACTGGCAAAAACGTGCTAATCAAGTCCTTGACTAGGGAAGTATACTGAAAAGGAGAACGTCCTGCCAATCGTCTCTCGCCAAATATGGCTAAAAGAAAAGAGGAAAAGAGAGAGAAAAAACATAACCTCGTTGATTGTAAATAAGACTCAGTGCAAATTGTCCATAACCGATGTATAATTACAACTCAGACACAAAGTCACTTTGTGATCTCAGCTTTGAGGAAAAGGTAGAAATGAAGCAAAGACTCAAAGGTCCTAAAAATCCAGAGGCTAGCAAAGGCACCTTCACTCATTGCCCAATGCTTTTAAATCGGGATCTCGAGCCGGCAATCCTAGTGACCCAAAGTGTTAGAGAAGATGCTCCGTTGAATATTGAGTTCGCTTTCCCAAACACCTACAAGGAGACCGCAGATGGATTAGAGCATAATTATCTTCCAACAGCTTTGTTTGATCTGCAGAGTCCAAGCAAAGCATGGTTTTGATTTGAGAGATGAGCTTTTGAACGCAGCTGGTACCATCTAGACGGTCGGTGTGTGTTAAATATATCATTTCTTTCTTTTTCTGGATTAAAAAAAAAAAGTGTTTTCCTTGTGTCTGGTTCCTGGTGGGCATTTATATCTCCGTTCTTACTTTAGAGACTTGCAAAGTTCACTGGCAAGATTCTTACACGTGGAGGGCTGCCCGGCTGTGGGCTCTTGCTGAGGCTTTAATTCAATTCATTCTTCACTGAATCAATTCTGGTCTTTTTTGTTTGTATTTCACACATTTCTCCCCTGTTCCACCATATCCTTTCTCCTCAATAACTCCTTCATGCCTAGATTCTCGTTCTTCTCCTCCTCTGGCATGAGGTTTTCTTTGAAACGTATGGAATGATTCCAAAGAGATTTTCCAAATCATCAACAAACTATCAGTTAGAAGTACTGCAGTGCATTTAAAACTTTTTTTTTCCATGACGATAAAAATGTTGCTATATGCCTAGATTCCAAATCATGAGCAATTGAATCAAGAGAGACATAATGTGAGTCCACGTTTTTTCTTAAGCCTCGACAGATCTGCAGATCCGCGTCTCTACTTTAAAAGCAGGACAGGTCTGTGGTGGGAAGAGAAACGATGGATGCACTTGAGAGAATGACAAGTTTCATGACTTAGTAACTATTCATGGTTTCTGTGACACCCTCACTTCTAAGAACAAAGCGTAGCAGTTTTCTGAAATTAAAAACACGTGCATTGAATGAGCTGGCTCAAGGATTAAGGGGGAAAAAAATCCATTCAGGATTTCCCCAGTTAGTTAACGCTTCCAACCAATCAAGCCATCAGGGTGCACAGTCCCCTTTGCTACAGCCGTGTGGGAAAGACTGGAGTGAAAAGGGTGCATTGCCTCTTATCCTGCAGACGTGCCAGAGAGAAGGGACCCTGCCCAGCCATGGCGTTCAGGACTGAAGGGAAAGATTAGTGCTTTCTTCAGACTATTAGGTAAAACCCAGACCAGATAACCTGCTGCATGGTGTCATCATCTGTTATTTGCAGCTGACATTCAGTTAAGGGTGAGCAATAATCGCGAGCTGTGATTTCTGGTGGCAGATTAAGGCAGACCAAGATCCTTATCTTGGTCTAGGAAAGATGTCCTTTCAGTTAAGGGCTTCCTCGAATTTCTCGTGCTATGGAATGAAAGTAACCAGCTTCCTTTGTAGTAAAATTGCTTAATGACTAACTCATCACCAAGGTCGAAAACTCATTATTTTACAAAGGGGCGTTTTGTGTGTTTGTTTGTTTTCTTTTCTTTTTAAAGGATCTCAAACTCTAAATTGTTGATTTTGGTTTTGAATTTGGTTTTTTCCTCCTTCTTAAGTCTCTCCCTGATAGCTGTCATGCCTCAAAGGCTACTGGTGAAACTTGGAGACCACCCCTCCCCTGCCTTTTAATTTGATATTATGAGAAAATTCTGGTCCTGATATACAGGCAAATTCTAAATCAAAAGGGACACTTTCTGATTGATGCCCACAATAAATACCACATGAAATTCTATGAAACTGAGGGCTCTCAAATTATAAAAACAAGTCAGCTTTGGTCTTCAGAGAATGAGATGTTTTTGCATAGTTTAAGAATAAAAACATATTACCCTAACAGAGCTCTGTAACTGTGCCTTCTTGGTGTGCTGCTATCGGAAAACATCTGGCACCGCCACTGAGTATTTCCGTGAGAGCTACCTGCGTACCGTCTCGTACTTAATCTAAGCCCTCCCCTCTTTGCCCATGACTGTCTTGGCACTTTAAGCGGAGGATGGCAGATGATGGAATTTCTAAGGGAGCCAACTGCTGGACGGTTACTAAATTATCTTCTAACAAGCTGAGTCACTCAGCACATATTAGGTTAACTGACCATCAGCAGTGATTCCACAAGATAAATTACACATATTGAACTGCCCCCCAGGCTGCAGGGTCTGATAAATTATTAATGTCACAGAATTGAAATGATTAAGTTGTAAATAGCAGGTTTTTTTTTTTTAACTCAGCCTATTTGAAATATTCTCCCCCTTTCTTAACATCTATCCTCTGATGTTACCATTTTTGTTGTTTATAATAAGGATAATAAAACATTCATCAGATCTTTAAAACATTAAATAAATAATCGTTTCTTATTGAGTATATAACAAATAAATGCAATCTAACAGTGTGGTTTCTCCCTCCTCCATTTAATTACAGTTGCCTTTTAGGAATTTAACATTTCATTATATATAATGAGTACATTTACACATTGGGATTGCCATCTAGGGTTTTGTTTTCAAAAATATGTTGTTACAGTTCATGGCCTTTTGAAATAATGGTGCAGCAGTGATAACATTGAAGAAAACTGATGTTTCACTAGAAATAGAAAGCAGCGTGTATGGTAGTTATGTCAGTCATTCCATTTGCTTAGTATAAGGGCCACTTTGCGCATTTCCAAACTGCAGATTAAAATGTATTGGCCTGAAATATGCATCATTTAATTTTAAAGGAAATAGAACCACAAGTCCTAAATCACATTTTTCTCTCAATTACCTTCAGTATGTGTGGTCCCAGTCTATGTTTTATTTGTAAAGGTAAATATAGAGGTTTTAAAATGAATTTTTGTTGGATTCTCTTTGGATAAAGAAAGGCACTAATTTCAATCAAACCTCTACACCTTGTGAAATAAAATTTCTGCCGTTGGTATGCAGAAGCTTAGTGGTTACTCAGCAGCCATCTACCCCATCGCACCCCCAGGCTTCGCTGCCAGTGGAACTTTTCATCACCAGGCATCTGGTTGAGAGCACTTGAAGTCAGGGTGAGCAGACCTTCCAGCCCAGCCCAGAGATGAACACTGATGAATGTCAATCAGTTCCTCCAATCTCCCTCCCACTGGCCAACGACTGCTTAAAGAGGGAGCATATGTCCATGTATACTCAGGGCAGTCAATGAGACCTAAAGGCGAAGTCTACTAGGGAGTCGGGGGTGGAGGGTGAGACAGGAGACGGGTAGGAGGAGAGGAATTTTCTTTCCTGAATGAAAAGACAAAGTTGCTGGAGGCAAAATCCTCTTGTCTTCTTCACTCCTCCTTTTGACCTTGGACATGCACGGAATGCTGGAGATGCAGCCACCCGTTTGCTTTTGGGTCCCAATGGCATCATGAAGCCCAGAGACCTGTGCCTTCTCTTCCTTCCACTGACCTCTTCTCCTGGAGAGAAATAACCTCCTGGATGTTTAGCTTATTCTACTTGGGTTTCTTGTTACTTGCAACCCAGTGCAGCCTCACTGATACAATTAGTAGGAGATCATGATGTACATAAATGAGGCCAGATGGCGCCCCAAAGTCCAAAATTAACTTATGCAATGATATTATAATTGCTTTCCCAGTAAAGTGACTACATTTTCTCTGCTATACTAAAAGATGTGTTATTCTTAAATCTAGGGTAATACTTCTTGAGTTAATCCCAGTTAAACTTATTAGTAGAAAATACTTGATATGTCAAAGAAAACAGAACCACAATTATTACAATACCTTTGAGGGACAGAAGGGCCTATGTCAAACGTTCCTCAACTTTTCTTAACTCATTTTTTAAAACCCAGATGCCTGGATGTTCCCCAAGTCTTCGTGCCTGCTGGGGTAATCCTGTCCTTTAAAAATGTTCTAACATGTGTCCCATATGTGGTAGAAATGATGTTGTCCAGGGCTGTGTGTGGTGATGTCACATTTATCCCAGTAACCTTGGGTCTGATCTCTGGCTTCTGCCTTTTGTTGCTGTTTCCTCCCCAGCATTGGCCCAGGAATAAAATGCAGTCACTTTTCATGACTACATTTATTCTTTCAACATATACTTAACTTCCAACCACGTGGAGAAAGATTAATGTGGAGATTAAACAAGAGACACTATGTAAAGTACCAGCACAAGTGCTCACAGGAGCATCTTTCTTTCTTTGTGGAATCCTGATTCAACGCATCAACTCTGCA